AGGCTTGTTTGGCAGCATGGAGGGAGGAGGTGTAGGTGTGGAAGGCAGATTTGTAGTGGGTGAAGGCTTGTTGGGATATTTGTTTTGCGGCCATAGTCCAGCTCCAGGGCATGACTGTGTCGTTTGAGGGTTTTGGTGTGATCAGTCTGCCAGGGCTGGAGCGGTTCGGGGTCTGATGTTGCGTGTGGTTAAAGGCGCTAGTGAGTCAAGGGCTGTTGAGCCAGCACGTTGTTTGTAGGCGGTCATAGCCAAGTCGGGGCAGGACAGGGGGAAGATGCTGGTCGTGGACTTGATCGGCTGCAGAGTGGAATGGGGGGGCAGTTAAGGTGCGGAGGTTACGGCTGGTAGTAGTGTGACATTTGGAGGGGTAGGCATTGAAGGATGAGGAGATAGAGAAGGTAATCAGGTTGTGGTCAGAGAGAGGGAAGGGGGTGTTAATGAGGTTGTGGGGAGCGCAGCGGTTGGAGAAGACAAGATCAAGGATATTAATCCGTTGGAGTGGGTGGTGGATGTATGCACTGTGCAAGTGCAAAGGAGGAGGTTAAGTGGAGGAGACGGGAGTGTCTGGGTTTGTTGAGGTTGACAGGGATGTTGAAAATCCCCAAGGATGATGGTGGGTAGCTCAGAGGAGAGGAAGAAGGGTAAGCCAGGAGGAGAAGTCATCCAGGAAGCGGGTGGTATGGATCCAGGAGGGCCGGTATAATCACAGCAATCTTCAGGGGGGTTGGGGAGAATAGATCGGATGCAGTGGGGCCTCGAAGGAGGAGAAGGATAGGGGAGGGGGGGTTTGGGAGGACTCGGAAGGTGCTCTGTGGTGACAGGAGCAGACCAACCCCACCACCTTTTTAATGAAATTAACAGGTGCATTAGATGGGCAACAATGAGATGACCCCCAAAAGAATGGTTTAACAGGTGGTGGCCACTGACATTTTTTTACTCCATCTTTTTCAGACTGTTTTTCACTAGTTTTGCATTTGGCTAGGGTCAGTGTCACTACTGGTAGCATGAGGCGATACCTGCACCCTACAGAGGTTGCACAGCCAGTCCAATTCCTTCAGGATGGCACACCAATACGTGCCATTGTCAGAAGGTTTGCTGTGTCTCCCAGCACAGTCTCAAGAGCATGGAGGAAAATCCAGGAGAAAGGCAGTTACTCTAAGAGAGCTGGACAGGGTCGTAGAAGGTACTTTGTGTAAGGAGGAACAGGATGAGCACTGCCAGAGCCCTATAAAAGGACCTCCAGCAGGCCACTGGTGTGAATGTCTCTGACCAAACACACTCAGAAACAGACTTCATGAGGGTGGCCTGAGAGCCCGACTTCCTCTAATCGGCTCTGTGCTCACTGCCTGGCACCATATAGCTCAATTGGCATTTGCCATTGAGCACCAGAATTGGCAGATCTGCCACTGGCTCCCTGTGCTTTTCACAGATGAGAGCAGGATCACCCTGAGCACATGTGACAGATGTGAAAGAGTCTGGAGAAGCCATGGAGAATGTTATGCTGCCTGTAACATCGTTCAACATGACCGTTTCGGTGGTGGGTCAGTGATGGTCTAGGGAGGCATATCCATGGAGGGACACACAGACCTCTACAGGCTAGACAATGGCACCCTGACTGCTATTAAGTATGGGGATGAAATCCTTGGACCCATTGTCAGATTTGTCAGATCCTACGCTGGTGCAATGGGTCTTGGGTTCCTCCTGGTGCATGACAATGCCTGGCCTCATGTGGTGAGAGTATGCAGGCAGTTCCTAAAAGATGAAGGAATTGATACCATTGAATGGTCCCCACGCTCGCCTGTCCTAAATCCAATAGCACACCTCTGGGATATTATGTTTCGGTCCATCCGATGCCACTAGGTTGCACCTCAGACTATCCAGGAGCTCAGTGATGCCCTGGTCCAGATCTGGGAGGAAATACCCCAGGACACCATCCGTCATCTCATGAGACGTTGTCAGGCATGCATACAAGCACGTGGGGGCCATACAAACTACTGAATACCAGTTTGAGTTACTGCAATGAAATTTCAGCAAAATTGACAAGCCTGCTGCATAATTTTTTCACTTTGATTTTCGGGGTGTCTTTGAATTCAGTCCTCTGTAGGTCGATCATTTTAATTTCCATCAAACGATGGGGCATCCTTACCTACCTAACACATTACCCAGTCCATATCGGTATAAATATCCAGCATGATATTTTTCCCCATTGAGATCTGATGTGTTTTCAAAGTGTTCCTTTAAGTTTTTTGAGCAGTGTATGTTCAGTACCTCAAGTAATGACAACATTTTTACCAAATCCACTGGCCCGTAGCTGAAATGTAGAAATAGCTCTGGTGTATAAGGAGTTTATAGATGTGGGAGATGAAGTTGTTGAAGGACTACCACTGTGAAAATTATTGTATTCTGATAGCTGTATGGGGTTAATACCTGTAATGATAGAATTCAGTAAATCAATTCCTTTTTTATCTTTATTGTATTTTTCTTTAGATTTATGAGTAAAACAAGTTGTCCAGGAAAAGGGATAGCTTCAGGGGTTTGAGTAATGTATTACAGCACATGTGAACATGCTATATTGATCAAAAATGCAATATGTTCTGCATTTTCAGTAAACACCAACACAGCACTACTTAATGGCCCTGTAATCTATATTTCATGGAATTGTTTCTTACTGTGTTTTTCTGCATGCTTTGTAATGTCCTTTGTGAGCACCCCAACTTCTCCTTTTCCCCCCCATCAAACAAACGTGAAAGGGAAAAGGAGAGGTTTGGGAGCTCCCAGAGGACATTACAAGGAGGCACAAAAACAAAGTAAGAAACATTTTCATGAAAAATAGATTACAGGGCCATTAAGTGGTCGTTGTATATTGATTATTTTTGGAGAATAAGACATTGTTTAATGTCATTGTAAGAATACATACCTGAATAGAACATACTGTATATTTTTAAATATAAAGCTTAGTGTCACTTTAATGCTGCATTATTTACTCTCTTATTTTAACTTAGCCTATAGTTCCAATCTAAGTATATATGGAACATATTAATAAAATATGCTTGTTGTAGCGTATAAAAAAAGAAAAACAGTTTTCTAACCTCCTCCTTCGATCATATTCCCTATCATATATTCAGCTGGAGTTTTCTGTGGATACCACCACAGACATGAGATGGTTGTACAACTTTCTCATTTATACTGGCATAAAAATAGGTATGGAGCAAAAAAAAAAAAACCCACCAAAAAAACTAAAATGCATAGGGCATGTATGACTAGGTGACGAGGGGAGGCAAGTTTGAAAGGGTTAATATTTTGGTAAGGGATTAGACCTAATTTACCTGATTACTGATTGGAAAGCTTATGAAAATGCCAATGAAAGGTACCAGAGGAATCTCATGTGGCCCCCTACTGACCCTGGGCCCTCGGGCAGTACCCGAATGCTCGAATGGTCAGTCCGCCCCTGGTTCTATCTTAGTCATAAGCACTACTATACAGCAGTATATGCTACACAAACTGCACAAGCTGTATGTCCATCGCCATGCTTATTATACAATTTATTTTTGGACTGAGTTTGCCTTTAACACCCAGCAACCTTTTTTCACTTGAATAGATGTAAAGTTCCAATGTGTGAAATGAAATGCTGCAATATAAAAGATCAAGGCTATTGTTTTATTCTGTGGAAATAAAGTGATTCACTTGAATGCAATAGAGTCCGGTAGTTATGAACATTAAGTGCCTTTGCAGTAATGCTAGCTCCGCAATCTATTTAACTGTTGCATTAGCTACTCCATTAGAGTATGCTTCATTTCGTACACAGTTAATCCCTTTATTATTAGAATGGATTGATTAAAATAGACCACAGTTCGTGTCTTTATGAAATAAAAGCCGTGTGTGGGAGTTAAGTGATAAAAAAATCATGCAAGGATGCTTTTAATAAAAGTGGATTGAGTGATTCTCTCAAGAAACCATCTTATACAGTGATCGTATGCTTAGATAAGATGTATATTTTGTATAGAGACAACTCGTCATACAGCTCTGTACTCCAGGATTACATTTTTAAAAGATTTTCCACTCTTAAATAAATGTGATCATAATGGGCAAACTCTATATGTTTACAGATGTTAATATTTAATTACCACACCTATCAGTATCATTTCAGCATGACATGGTCAACACCATCTTTTTGGTTGGAGTTGAGCTATAAATTGAACCTGTTGCTATAATAAATTTTTAAATTCAAACCATACCAATAAAAAGTAGTGTGTACATTTTCCTGCTGTCCGCACCACCAAACTTTAATCCAATCCTGAGAAATCTTTATGTGAAGTTTATCGCTAGAATGCAGTTGGCCATATTGTCCTCAGTTTTCTTAATTGGAGTCTGTGCTTTCATAGGACCACATAGATCTGAATGAATTAAGTCCTTAGGCTGTTGGGCTCTGCTGTTGCTAATTTGGGAAAAGATTTCCTAGTCATTGTTTCTTTTATGTAACTAATACACTTCATCTGTCGGTCACAGTCTACCTAAACGACCGAGTGGAGGTGACAGGTAGAGACCGCGAACAGGTCCCTGCACCACCAACCCTCGCCTTTTAGTTGCCGGTCCCTCTCCTCTCCTTCCCCCCAGTCTCCTCCACTGCAGCTGTCATCCTCAGTGCACAGCAGAGAGCGGAAGGCAGCACAGCTCAGGATGGAGGGCAAGAGGAGGAGCAGGCCAAATGAACTTTTCATATTAACCTGCAGGTGATTGTTTGGTAGAGCGGTCCTAGCAACCAATTACCAGCTTGTTAATATGAAAAGTTAATTTGACCATTTCCTCCTCCTGTCCTCCATCCTGAGCTGTGCTGCCTTCCGCTCTCTGCTGTGCACTGAGGATGACAGCTGCAGCGGAGAGGCTGGATGAGGGGGGGAGGGGGTGCACCGTCAGTCCAGAACTGTGCTGCTTTCCTCACTCTTCTGTACAGAGCTAAGATACTGCTTGGGACCAGTGGGGTACTTAGGTTTTGTGCTGCCCTAGGCAACACAAAAATCGTCTGCTCCCACGGACACGGACCAACACCCCCCCTTCCCCTCCCATGGAGAGAGCCTGACATTGACCAACCCCCCCCGGAGATAGAGAGAAAGACACTCAGCCTTCACAGCTCCAGACATCCCTGGGAATGAGAGTCAGGCTCTGTATACACCATCAAGCAGCCTGCAGCCTCTCTTGGATCCCACCTGGTACCCACAGCATGCATGTCCCTTCTTCCATCCTTCTTCTGGGGGAGGTGCTGCCTCCTGAAAAATGCCACCCTAGGCAAATGCCTTGTTTGCCTTGTGGTAAATATGCCCCTGCTTGGGACATAGCTATGAGGGGGAAGGGCGTGGGCAGAGGACATTGCTGGGTGGGAAGGGGGCCAGAGGTCACAGCTATGGGGGAAAGGGGGGCAAAGGACACTACTGGGGGGAGGTGATGTGCTGAGGACACTGCTGTGGGCAGGGTCACCCACATAGCAGTGTCCTCTAGTGCCTTTCACATCACCCCCCCCCCACAGTAGTGTCCTCTGCCTCCCTCACATCATCCCACCCCCCAGTAGTATTCTCTGCCTCCCTTTCCTCCATAACAGTGAGCTCTAGCCCCCCCCCTTCCTGCCGCTCCTGTCCTTGCTGCCCCTCCTGTCCTTGTTCCTCCTTTTTTCTGCTGCTCGGTCCCTCCCCCAAGTGTTCCCCTTTCAATAAGGCTCCAAAAAAAGTGAAAAATAAAAATACAATTGTAAAAATAGAAACTACTGACACCATCCACTGCCCTACTGACACCAACCTCTGCCCTACTGACACTGTTCACTGCCCTACTGACACCAACCTCTGCCCTACTGACACTGTTCACTGCCCTACTGACACCAAACCTCTGCCCTACTGACACTGTTCACTGCCCTACTGAATGAAACCCATCCACTACCCTACTGACTGACACTGTCCATTTTTAAGGTAGGCTAAGTTTATATTTTTACAGTGACATTTGTTTTTATTATATTCTTCTACATTTTCCTTACTATTTAGTTAGGCCTTAATTTATTTTTTAAATGGCGCTAAACCCCGATGATATTTGATCTCTTTCATGTTGTTAGGTAGATTTCCACTTCTCAAAGGTTGCCTACCCCTGCACTTCATTATTTGACTGCATGCGTCATGTTTATGCCAAAAGATTTATATTTTTATCTATCTAGTCCTGAAATGTACACAGCTTTACCACACAGCACAGAAGAAGACCTGATGTTTTTTCTGCTGCAGTTAAGTAACACTCACAGAACAGGACAGTGAAAGTAAATTTAGCACACTCATCTCTTCACTCCGTCACTCTGCTCTCTCATCCTATCAACATGCTCTTTATTAGCACATGAGCATTGCAGCACAACATATTGGCTCTGTATGTTGCTTCTCTCCCTCCCATTCTAAGCTCTGCTGTACAGGGATTGTAAGAGGCTGATGCTAGGTCAGATTCAGGTACAGATTCAGGTACATACAATGCTTGCACTTAAAGGAGAATTAGGGCCAAAGCTATTTTGGCTCTACTTCCCCAATGGATCACAGGTGTGCACTTCGTTCTACACTCCTGTGACCCCTTTTTCAGCCAACAGTGGGCTAAAGTCCGCTGATGTCATAGAGCTGGTCCAGACTCTGAAGAGATCCTGACTTTAATATTGGGATTCCCCCAGATGCCAAACTGGCAGCTGGCTCAGCCTCTCATCAAGCTGCTGAGAGCCTGAGCCAATTGCTCCCACCTCTTTCACTGCCCAATGCTCCAGTGAATGCTGGAGGGGCAAAGCAGAGAGCCAGTGACCGACAGTCACTGATCTCTGCTCATTGAAGAGCAAGAATTGACTGATCAGTGGTCTTTGATCACTCAGTTCTCAGAGGGGGACATATGCAGTATCAGACCAATGCTGCATCCACCTAAGTGAGTATAAATGCTTTTTTTTTTTCATGATTTCCAAACTTCCCTTTAAAAAAAATGTAATTTATGAATGTATCAATGAATACAGAGCTGCATTAATTTGTGTATTTTGTATCTGCCTGGAGTTCAGCTTTAAAGTGATTGTAAAGGTAGATTTAAAAAACAACTAAACAAACAAACATGTCATACTTTTCCTGCTCTGTGCAATGGTTTTGCACAGAGCATTCCTGGTCCTCCTTTTCTCAGGTCCCCTGCTGGAGCTCCTGTCCCCTCCCTCCTGACAAGTGCCTCCACAGCAAGCAGCTTGCTATGAGGGCACCCAAGCAGGCTGGCTCCTGAGCCGCTGCTCTGTGTGTCTGTTCACACACAGCTGTGGCTCGGCCCTGCCATGCCAACTCTCTCTTCGTTGGTTCACTGGCTGTTATTGACAGTGGCTCCCACTGCTGTCTCAGCCAATGAGGAGGGAGAGACCCGAAACAGCCGAGGCTCTCATGCACATTGGTGGATTGAGATGGGGCTCAGGTAAGTATTGGGGGGGCTGCTGCAGACAGAAGGGTTTTTTTTTACCTTTTTTACCTACCTTTACAACCACTTTAATGATACAACCTGGTCATTTACCCTGGGCAGTGAATGAGAATTAGTCCACTTCTGATGAAGCCATCATTCTGTTGTGGCTTCCACTCCAAGTTTCCATTATTAGATTGACAGCATTTACACTGCTGGCATTCTTTCTCTTTCAGCCTTCCTGAGTAGGCATTACAAAAAACTCATATAAAGAAAAATCAGGGAAACATTATATTTGAACAGATTTTCTTATCGCAATGACTCCCAGAACACTAAAGAGGAAGCAAAGTTTCTTTCTTTTTCAGGAAAGCCGAATCTCATTAAAACCTACAACTTAGGTGTTCGGTAGGGAGAGGAGTGGAAGAAGTTATAGCACTCACTCATTCACTTTTACATTGTATGTAAATGTCAGCTTGAGCTCAGCCTACTGGCTCAAAAGGTTCCTACAAAATATTGTCAAATTTCATATTTGCTATTTACAATATTTCATATTTTCTAGATATAGCATTCCCTTTAAGTCATTTGTTTTACCCCGTATGACCCAAGCCTAGGGCCACTGCAGTTATGTTTGTATTTGCAAAATTGATGCAGAAATTGCACAATTTGACAACAGAATCTCCCACTGGAATAAGAAAAAAATGATGTAAGTACATTTTTCAAACCATGAATCTTGCATTTGTCAACATCTCAACAAGCTGAATATCTGGCAAGAAATATACACATTTACCGGAACAGTATTGTTTCTTCTACTACATATTTTAATCAATCACATTACAGGCAAGACAATAAAAGCTGAGCCTTGCTGACTGGTGCAAATGAAGTTGTTTGGCTTCGTACAGTAATGTCACTATTTAGTGAATATTTTCAGCATGTCTCAATGTTGGACATCACCAGCCCCAGCATTATCTGAATGGCAGACAGTGCTCTGTGTTTTGTCTCACTAAATTGAAATTTTCAACTTATATCTTGTCGCTTTCAAGAACAATGCAGACTCACATATTTACCGACAAGGACACCATATGTATTGTTATCCATAACCTTAGATCTATCCCTGTCTGCACTACGTACATCTGCCTTATGTTACTCTACCCCAGCAACATGAGATGTGGGAGCTCACACACCAATAAGAGCCCATTCACACTGCTGCAGTGCGTGTTTTCTGCATTGTGGATGCAGTACAGCTTACCCGCAGGTCCATGGACAAGCATGTAGGTTTTAGTTTGCTTGTATGTCCCCTGCTGGCAAAAGAAACCCAACAAAAAGGGGACTTCAAGTGATTGTAAAGTTGTTTTTTAATAATAAACATGGCATACTTACCTGCTCTGTGCAACAAGGTCATCACGGAGGACAAGGGGGAACTCTTTACGTCTGGAGGAAAAGAGATTTAATCTAACATTTTTGGAAAGGTTTCTTCACAGTAAGAGCTGCGGAAAATGTGGAATAGACTCCCCCAAGAGTTGGTTCTGGCCAGCTCAGTGGCCTAGATTCTTTCCTAGATACACATAATATAACTGTATACTAACATTTATAGGAAAAGTTGCTGCAGGGAATATCCGATTGCCTCTTGAGGGATCAGAAAGAAATTTTTTCTCCTGCAGGAGCAAATTGGATCATGTTTTTGCCTCTGGATCAACTGTGGGTATAGGATTATAAAATGTTTTACATTTTTTTTATGGTTGAACTGGATAGACGTTTGTCTTTTTTCAGCAAGACTAACTATGTAACTAATGGTTCTGCACAGAGCAGCCCCTCCTCTTCTGGGGTCCCTCCACTAGTGCTCCTGCCCCTCCCCCCTTCTGAGTGCCCCTATAGCAAGCGGCTTGTTATGGGGGCACACATGCGGGCTTGCTTCCAAGCCACGCAGTGTTTGTCCATTGATACATACAATGTGGCTTAGACTCACCACTGCTTTATCCTCACTGGCTGTGCTTAGCAGCAGTAGGAGCCCATTGCTCCTGCTGCTGCCTTTCTGTCCAGGGAGGAGAAAGTGAGAGGGGGCCACTGCTCTTGGGCTCAGTCGTGGATTGAGATGGGGCTCGGGTAAGTATAAGGGCTGGGGGGGAGCTGCAGAGAATGCATTAAGCTAAAAAAACCTTCTACCTTTAGAACCACTTTCAAGCAATTTAGGCAGTGAAATAAAAAAAAACAAATTCTTGAAAGCGGTTCTAATTTGTGTCAAAGAAAATGGTGGCATTGATGTACAAAAGAAAATAGACTTAGTAAAACCTCAAACAATTCTTAATGGCTCAAATTTAACAGGGTCCAAAAACAGACAAAATATAGGTTAATAAGGAACCTGGACTAGATGGTTTACACAAATGCACCTTCAAAGAGCTTAGTTGCCATTTATTGATTCTAATTTTTAGAGACTCTTTAATGACTAGCTCATTACTTATGGATTGGGGCAAGGCGAATGTGGTGCCTATGTTTAAAAAGGATCAAGGTTTTTGTCCAGAAACTACAGGCCTGTAAGTTTAAGTTCTATAGTTGGAAAGATATTTGAGAGTTTGATAAATGACCACATATAAGATCTGCTAGAAAACAATATCATAAGCAATGGCCAGCACGAATTCAGGAAGTACAGTGGTTGTCGAACAGATCTGCTTGTCTTTTGAGGTTGTAAGCAAAAACTTAAACAAAGAGGCGGCTGTGAATATAGCATACATGGCATTTGCTAAAGATTTTGACTTGACACTTCATAAGCAGCTAATGTGTAAATTACAAGCCAAAGGCTTAGAATATGTTAGAACACGTTGCCAGTAAATGGAAAGAAAGCTGGTTTAAAGATGATATTAGGAGAGTAGTGATTAATGATTCATGTTCTTAATGGACTGTTGT